TGCTGTTTGCTGGCCGACTGTTTCCAGTTCACTGAAGCCTCCCTGGGGACCTGTCTGGTCTTCGTGGGGCACAGGGATTCGGTCATCCCAGGTGCCAGTCATTTAACCAGAGCAGGCAGATGGCAGCAGAGCTTGGCCATCCCTAGAGCTGGCTGCATCGTCATGAACACGAGAACCTTCCTGCATGGACTTTACTCTCCATAGCCTTAGTGTGGCCAGATGCAGAGCCCCTCCTGCTCAGCTTGCAGCAGGCACAGGCACTCAGTCTCCTTCCCCTGCCTGAGGCTGTCAGACGCCACTGACTGCAGCTTCTTTGTGCTTCAAAGAGGCTGCGTTATCACCCGTGTCTGTAGTGGGGAGAGCTGAGCTTAGCTGGGCGCAGACATCTAAACCGGTCACCTTCCTCCACAGTTACCTGCCTGAAGTGATGGGGGACGGCTTAGCTAACCAGATTAACAACCCGGAGGTGGAGGTGGACATCACCAAGCCAGACATGACCATTCGCCAGCAAATCATGCAGCTAAAGATCATGACAAACCGTCTGGGCAACGCTAACATCGGGAATGATGTGGATTTCCAAGACGCGAGTGAGTAGCAGAGCAGGACTGGGGCTGAGCAGTCCATCCCAGCAGCCCTCAGCCCTCGTGCACACCTGCAGCAGCGAGGTATCACCATGACCTGGCTTCTGGCTCCGGGCTGCAGAGCCTTGTCTGAGTGCATCCAACTTGCTGCAGGGTGGCCTGGGCTCTCAGCACTGTGCTGTAATGCTCTCCCCAGGCTCAGCCCAGCCTGGCTGATGAGGCCATTGCTCCCATCTGCCCCAAAAGCTCTCTGAAGCTGTCCTCTGTCCCTGCCGTGGCCAGAGTCACCCTTCTGCTGTGTCCTGCCTGAGTCTCTGTGCCCCGCCGCCCCATGATGGGGTGGCACCTTGTCTCTCTGCAGGATGGGCTGTGCTCTTGCCAGCCTTGTTTGGTGGGGTGGGACAAGTCCCCAAGGGATCGCTCCTTTCCACAGGAACAGCTTACACTAACTCTTAGACGTCGCCCAGGCAGGGTGGCGCAGGGGCACAAGGAGAAGGCAGGGCCATCACCAGCAGGAGGGCAGGCTGGGCTCACCCCCTTGTCTCCCCGCAGGTGATGACATGAGCGGCTCTGGCAGTGGTGACAGCTGTCCTGACGACGTCTGTGGCAAAAGACTTTCTAAGAGCCCCAGCACCAGGCAGCCAGAAACGCACGCTATTCCTAAGCAGTCTGGACACGGCATCAGTGGGGCCAGCAGCAGATCTTTGCCTTCTGCCTTCCTCCTCTTCCTTTCAGTGGCTTTCATCGCTGTGCAGCACTTGTGGCGGTAACTCACTAGCACAGCCGGGAAAAAGACTGCATCTGAGGGCTTCACTTTGCCAAAACCAACCAACCAACAAAAGGACATAATTAATTCACCTTGGCAAAAAAAAAAAAAAAAGAAAAAAGAAAAAGAAAAAGAAAAAAAAAAAGAGGGAGGAGAAAAAGGTTTCAGTTGTTTGCTATTTCTGGCAGTGCTCGAGCTATTTTCTTCTTTCTTGGTCTCTTCCCCAGTGCTGGGCCCTTCTTTCCATACCTCATTGTTTGAATTTTGTTATTGCCACAGACTGGCTCTTGGGGCTGAAACAAGCCTTTGCAGAGGGGGCTCTTGGGGAAACCCAGCCAGCCCCTCAGAGGGCAGCTCTTTTGCTGCCCGCAGTGGAATATGCAATTTCCCTGATCTTGTTACCCAGCCGCTGGCCAGAGCACTGCTTTAACACACTGCTGCATAAAGCACGCCGGGGGCTGAGAACATCACCGCTGCGTAACGCGGAGGGTCTGAGGTCACAGCACTGCTCAAGTGCTGCGTTCAGGGACTGTTTCGGGGTTTCCTTCTGTACTTCTGCAGCAGGCAGAGGTGACCCTTCTCTTCCATCTGTGTACGTGGGAGTGTGAGCAGATGCAGTGGGTTGAACTGAAACAGTTTGGCAGTGGCTGTTGGACCCAAAAACGTAGATCTCCCTTTTACTTTGGAAAGGTCACAAATGGGTTTCTTGACTAGAGCTCGTAGCTGACGACATTTTTAAATGCCTACATCTAAGTAAGTGACTGGGACTGAGTGTTAGGGGTTGGGGTTTGGGGTATTTTTTCTTTGCATGCTAGTCGGAAAGCCATTTTTTTTACCCAAGTAATAATGGTCCAATTTCTACTTGCAGTGCAGTACCATAGTAGGTAACAGAGAGATGAAAAAAAATGCACAGTAGGATACTTTACTAGACAGACAGTTGTGCTGCCTCTTCCTCCTCTGGCCCCAGCCATGGATATGAATGCCCTTTTTTTTTTTTTTTTGTGGTAGTAAGAAAGACCAGGGACTTTGTACTAATGAGAGCACTGTGACTGGTTGTGATAGCTCACGCCAGGCGCATGAGGGAGTGACCCCAAGCCTTAGGGCAGAGTAGAGCTGGTGGCAATTAGCCCGTGGCGGTGTCTCTGCCCAGAAGAATGACTCACAGGTAGCACCTGCTGAGGAAATGGGACGCTTTGTTGGAGATACTTTTTCTTTTGGTGTTTGTTCTTGTTGCATTGTTGGGTTTTAAGTGGCGTCCTGCTTTCCCTATCCCTTCCCCACCCCCCCACACACTTGTCCTACCTGCTGCAGGGACTGCATGAGAGGGCAGGTCAGATGCCTGCCCGTGGCCCTGTTACAGCTCAGGGAAGCACCCGGTCACCCTGCTGCTGCCCTGTCCCAGCAGCCTCAGGGTCATCCAGCACCAGGGTGCTCCAGGAGAGATATAAGTATCCTCACGTGTCTGTGGGATTGTCTCTGTTGTAGGGCTGTGTCCTTTGGGTTGTCCAGAAGGCTCGTTTAACTCATGGGTACAGCAGGCATCTGCTGGAGATGTCGGTGTAGCAGATGCCATAGTTACAACACAGGCACCGTGTCTGGATGGGCTTCGTCCTTATGGGGTTGGTTTTATTTCAGATGTCTTTGTTCTGTGAGAGAGAGGGAGGGCAGAGGTGTATCTATCATCTTCTGCGTCCTTCCAAATACAGGAGTGGCTAACTAAAAGTCATAGATTTATCCAGATTTACTTCTGGAAATGTAGCAAGTTCCACATTACTTTTACTGGGCCAAAGAGTTCCTGTCTTTTTTTTTCCCCCTTTTTTTTTTTTAAATTTCTACCCAGTGGTAAAACCAATCCTGCAGAAACTTTAGATGCAAAAGCAAAAGGGGAAGGAGGGCATTAAAACACTGTATCCTTTTCAAAAAGCGGTTGGGTTGGAATGTTAAAAAAATGGCTACTGAGGTCAATGTTTTGCTTTTCATAACAGGAAAGTCCTTGTTGTTTCCATTTCCATGCAGTTAAAGTTTGTTGTCAGCCTCTTACATTACAAAGCTTCTTACAGGCACCAAGGAGCACACCTTAAATGTAAAGCAAAGAATTTACCAATTGTCCTGTTAATATTTTAACAATGTAATAGCCCAAATCATTGGTCCTGTTCCACTAATAAAACCTGACGGTCCAAAGTAACACAGAAGAGCCTGAAGAATACAGTAAGAACCGTTATGTAGAAGAAACCCTTCCTGATGTCTTCCCCTGTTCACTGGGGTTACGCTTACACCTCAGTGGCCCTCCGGGACCGCAGGTCAGGTGCATCGGTCTTCCTTGAGCAGAACTGGGGGTGACAGTGAGCGCCTGCACCCCGAGCTCTGTGCCAGGAGGGTGAGAGGCAGTGCCGGGGGCTCTCGCCCCTTGTTGCCAGGAGGTGCATGATGTTGACATTGACACTTCCTCGCTCCTTGCTCCCAGGTCTGCTTGTGTTACTTTGTGTACCTTTTCACACCGTCTGCTTAACACTGCTGCTTTTTGTTGGTTCCCCATTACTCACTTTCTCTGCTCTTTTCATTGTCACCGAGTGGTTTCCCCGGCCCCTGCAATGACCAGTGGGGCTGGTAGCCAGGGCACAACCCCACCACTGCAGCCTGGGGCTGCGCTCAGCACCAGAGCCAGAAGGGCTGAGTCCACCCAGAGCATTGACTCGGTACGGCTCTGAACCCAGGCTGTGGCTACCTGACTGCAGACAGCTGCTGGTACAGCTCAAGGGAAAATCAGCCCAGGTCCAACAAGCCCCAAGACCTGCACTCGGGCAAGTGCAGAGCCTGTGGCCTTTTAAGTAATTACAAGCGACGTTTCCTGGGCTCCTTCCCATTCAATAACATTGTGACAAACGTCCCCAACCCTGTGGGAATCACTCAGGGGCTCCAGCTTTGGATTTGTTGTTACTGGGGAGCTCTGGGGAGCAGGGGCGGCTGGGGAAGAAACATTTGCTTCTATGTTAGCAAGGTGGTGACTCACGATGGTTCGGGTTGAAAAGGCGTCTGCTTCACAGGAGTGCAGAGGAGGTTGGTGGGCTAGAAAAGGATGTTAACGACGGCTCCTGTCCATGGAAAAGGAAGAACCAGAAATAGCGGATTTCCAAGCGTCTCTGTCTTTCAGCCTGCTCTTTTGTGCCATAATGTGTATGTTTTAACTAAGGGTGAGGGTCTCAAAAGGCTTTGAGAGTGCAGCTACTTATCATTTACAAATGACAAACTGCCTGTTGTTTTCTGGTGGGCTTGGTAGGGGCTAAATTATAGCAAAATATCTAAAGTCCACCTTTGCTTTAAACAGATGCATTTTTATCTGCAGGAGTAAGAATTATTTCACTTATTGGCATAGCTGGACAGTTATCTATTTCTTTCTGTTACCAAGGTACTTGTAACTCTCTTGCACTGTTTATCTAAAGTTAAAATATGTTCTTTGAATCCTTGTATAAATAAAAAGGCTGGAGACTTAAATCTGTATTTACAGGGCAGTTTGATTTCTTCTATGAGTTTGGAGTTTTCTTTATTTTTCCCCTTTAAGGTATGGATAAACTCCAGTTCAGTAGTCCTGAGGAACGAAACCTCGCTTTGAGCCACAACGTTCACCATGGGCTGAAGGAATATGAGGAATGTTGGTTTGCCCTACAAGCAATCTTACATAATCTGGCAAAAACAAGTGCTCAGGTTTTATGGCTGCAAGGGATATGAAAACAAGATGAAGGTAACTTGAGGTCATCAAAGCAAGTATTCCAAACAGCCTCTTTCTCATGCAAAGTCAGAGAAAGTCATGGCATAATTGAATAAGAAATGCCCTTGGTATTTGTTACTGCACAGCGTTGTGCTAGTGCAGCTGTTGGTTAACAAGTTAAGAGTTAACAAGTGAAGCAGAACACGGGCTGTGACACGGATATTTCATCGTCAGCGAGTGCTGGAGACTGAAATGATAAGCAGAAAGGTTTGCGTTTTATCTCTGCACCTTCCACTTCCAGAAGCTGATGAATGTAGGGGTCAAGGCAATATGTCAAAAGCAGCTAATGACGTGTCAGAGTGAAACTTGCTAACTGGAAACTACTAAAAGTATATCTGCCTGGAAGCAAATATCACTTAAATTTAATAAATTGTACGATACCCCTGACTGAGTAGGTATTCCCTTAGCTTACCGTCCTGCTGTTACAGCTATTTAGGTGCCATATGCTCAAATTTTATAAATACAAGCAAGCGTAGAAATATCACAAGTTGTTTGCAGAGCAGTCACCGCCTTTGCCTCCTCTGTGCCTAATTATGACCTTAAATAACAGTGACTTCCAGTCTGTATGGATGAAAACTGTTTTGAAAACCTCTCTGTTGGTTTGTAAATATGCTGAATAACGCATTTGCAAACTAACTGCTAAGAAATTACAAAAGAGGTAGTGCACGATGCAAGCTTCTCCTCTTCCCTGCAGTCACACAGAGAAGGGGAGGCCTCAGTGACCCCAATACCAACCATTGACCTGCGAGGAGGTCACCAAGACGACGGGTCCAGGCTCAACACAGATTATGGCGAGAGGATGAGAGACAGCGAGCACAGCAGGGGCTGTTTGCACCATGCCCCAACCGCAGCAACACCAACACCAGAAACCCCCCAGCAGCCCACAGCAGGAGCTGGGCTGAGGCACCAGGCCTCGAGCGGCCCCATAGGGCTGCAATTCAAGCAGGGTGTTGGGAGGGATAACTCTTCTGGTGTGACAGACCTACACCAGGTCAGCTGCCAGCAGGTACCTGTTGGACATCTGGTAAACATGCACAGCCTCATGCTGAGGCATCACTGCTATCAGAAGCGGTGACATTAGCTGACGCTGATGGGAGAGACCAGTACTGCTGAAGGGTGGGGAACTGGTAAACCAGTCCCACCACAGGCACACCGGGCAAACCCCAGAGCAATCGGCTGGGCTGCTGCCGCCCTTTGGCTCAGTGGAGAGTTCACACCCCACAAATAAAGAGCACAGTTTGGGTAACAAGAGCGGCCGTGATGAGAAAAGAAACCTCAGCAGGAACAAAGCCCATGCCCACAGCCCCACACACCAGTAGGCTGTGCCAAATAGGTTGCTGCTTAGTAGCTCAGCCCTACATTTGAGATTAAGAAGAGCAAAAGCTGGAAAACACCAGCATTTCATCTGTTCTTTACCATAAAGCAGGAGCTGTTTAGCTGTACAAACCAAGGCAATCACAGCTTTCACTTACGGGTGAGCTTTCCCAGGTACCACGATGAAGTTGCCCATCACAAAGCCTGGTGGCAGGCAGAAAGGCTGCAGCAGGAGCTGCTCCCAGCTGCATGCTCCCAGGGTAGAGAGGTGAGAGGGGCACGGTGCCTCCCCGCACCAACAGGGACTGGGCCCTGCCAAGGCAACAAGAGGCCCCTGTTGCATCATGGCCACAGCCCCCACCCCCATGGGGAGGAGCAGGTGGGGGTGGCGGGGTGCTGCCCCCTCCCCGAGGTCCCCTGGGGCCTGGCTGCCCTCTCCGTGGGAAGCACCTCACCAGCGGGATGCAGCCCAGGATGGACTTCTGGGACACCGGCCGGGAGGGCCCCATGGTGCCGCCTTTCACTGCTGTGGGTAAGGGCAGCCACAGCCCCTGCAGCAGCATGGCCGGCACCCACCCTGAGTGCATTGCCCCCGTCAGGGTGAGCTGAAGGGCTGGGAGCTGGCAGAGGGTGACCCGGCCTTCGCTTGCTTCCCAGTGAGAGCTGCCGTCTGGGACACTGTGTCTGGCTACGTCCACCAGCAGCTCCTGCTGCACAAGGTGGGCTCATACCCTTCTCCCCTTCTGCCTGGGGCTCCAAGGGCCTCATGCTTCCCTGGCCAGGAACTGCCATTAATCTGCCCCTCCCCAGAAGACAGGGACCTCCCCTTAGGAGACCCGGCCAAGGGAGAAATTCGGCTTGTACAAAACTGCTGCTGGACGCCCCTTGAAAGCCACAGGCCTGAGGATGCTGCTGGCTCCAGCATGGCTTTCACGGAGACCAAGCAGAGCTGGCAGCTTGTGTCCAGCACTCCAGCAGGGCAGCCTCTGTTTTCCCTCCAGCTCTCCTCACCCTCCTGCCTTGCTGGGTCCGTCTGCTGCTTGCAGGGTGTCCGCATCCCCACCCTTGGGTCCTTCGACACCATCCCTGAGCGACTCCGGGTTCGGGCCAGGGAGCTGACGGTGCAGCGCCCTGTCTTCCGCCTGGCCAGGAACCTCGCTGATGCCCACCAGCTGACGGACGACAAGGCCTATCTGCCAGGTGAGCTGTCTGCCTACAGCCCTGGCTCTTGCCAGCTCATGGAAGCGCACGTTTCCCCACAGCATGGCCAAGGTGACTAAATGGCTCCCATCCCTCTCCCAGGTCGGAGAGTTGCTGATGCTCCTCAAACACAAACTGCTTGCTGTGGAGCAGCTCTCACAACAGGCTCCTTGTGTGCCACAGCTGCAAGATCCAGCAGCCCTGAAAAAACTGCCTGGAGGGAAGCAGGCCCCTGGAACCTGCTACGCTGCTGGCTCCAGACACAGCTCAGCACCGTGGCCTCGGCTGCAAGGCATCCCCGAGAGCCTGGGCGCTGCGGGTGTAGCCTGTGTTACTGCCGCATCCCCAGCCCTCCTGTGTGCTTTTTCCAGGTGACAAACTTCTGGAACCCCTGCGGTACGCTCAGATAGCTGCGGCCACCTTTGTGTCTGCAAAACGAGTGGTGGGGTGCATCCAGGCCACCATGTCCCTCTTCTCCCGCTGCATCAGGAAGGGAAGAAACGTCGCACTTATCCTGAAGGACATCGGCATGCTCCTCATTGAGGGCACACGAGTGCAAATGAAATACTACCATGACTTTCTGGAAATGATGACGGGGAAGGACAAGCTGAAAGAAGCTCTGTTGAGGGTAAGTGTTTCTGTTCTCCACTGCTGCAGCGCACCCTTTGCAATCCCGCTGCCACACGCCTGTTAGCACTGCTCACTCTGGGACTGCTGTGGCCTGGGGAGCCCCCTGGGAACCTGGGCCTTCACCTCAGCAAGGACTGGTCCCTGCAGCAGCATCCCAGCTGCTGCGCTCACAAAAAGCCAGGCAGTTTATGATGCAGCATCAGGGCTGCCTGCTCAGTAGAACAGGCTATTGGGGATGAGCTGCGGGTGTTTCAGAGAGGCAATGTGGTCGTGTAGCAGTGGGAAGCCATCCACCCCGGTCATCTCCCCAGCATCGCAGCTCCTCAGCTCTGCACTCCTCTGTTGCAGGTCCCAGGGATGCTGGACTTGGTGATCCCTCGCACAGCAACTGCGGCGTCCCTGACCTGCTCTGGGCACGTCATCATCTTCCCAGAGTGAGTGCGTGTGCCCCAAGCCCTGTGCTGGGTCTGCCGGGTGGGCACTCAGGGAAAAGCCTTGTGCGAAGATGCTCTCCCCACAACTGCCCTGGCTGCTGTTGCTTCTCACCCCTACATGTGGCTTCACACAGGGCCCATCGGAGAGGGGCTATTGCATGGCACAGCCATTGCCACCGGGCAGAGCTCAGAGGACGTACAGAGGAACTGAGGAAACACTCCTAACTCAGGGCCTGCACTGCTCCTCTGCGGCCGTGCTGTGCTCTGCTGCGGGAAAGGCTGGCCAAAAGGGCTCTGATGAGAGCTGCCAAGGAGCTGTGGTGCCTCAAGTCACACCAGTGTCTTCTCCTCACATCCAGGTTTGAACTGGAGACCGCCCATGGCACACCGCTCAGGGACTACCACAACAAGCTCCTCAATGAATGCAGGCAAAAGAAAGCTGTGCTTTTGCGACCTCCCAGGCAGGACAAGAAGGGTAACGTAGCAGTTAGTGTCTTGCTATAGCGCAGGGAGCCATTTGTTCTCATCTAACGAAGCAAACCCCGGTGCTGGTTGCAGAAAGGCTCCTAAGTGGTGCCGACGCATCGTGCCCCGGGTACACCGGGGAGCAGAGCCTGGAGCCTGGCTCCCTCAGCGGGAAACAACCTCCACCAGAAGAGACTCCGACAGGCCACCAGCACCCAGCCGGGAGCACAGCCCCGGGTAACAGCTCCAGGAGAAAGGTGGGTGGCACTGGGGAGGCCCCAGGGCTCCCCGAGCTTATGACTGCACAGCAAGCAGAACAGCCCTCCCTCCCATCCCCAGGGCAGGCAGTGGCATGGCCACATGTTCCTGACAAATTTTCTGCTCTCCAACACCAGGGACCCAGCCTGAAACGCACCTCCTTGGCCATGAGGGCCTTACTCCAGCCAGGAGAAAGACGACGGGAGTGATGGGGCAGAGCTGCGTGCCTCTGGGCAGGTGAGGCTTGTGCCAAAAGGCAGGTGGGACACCAGGGCTTGTGCCTGCGCGAGAGCCGTTTCCCTCAGTGCTGGAGCTGGCTTCCCTCTGGCACGCCACTTTTGCGATGTGTGCAGGCAATTGTGTGCAGGCCAGCCTCGTGGATCTCCACTGTGAAATAAAAATGCATCTTCATCCCACATGGCTGACTTCTTGCTGGCTTTGCTTTTCATGCTAGTCCAACTCGTCCATGTCCTGCCACTTTGATAGCCCAGGGGCATCTTTGTGCCACCAGCAAGTGCGGGTCAGGGACTCCTGCTGCCTCACAGCCAGGCAGGGAAGCGTTGAAGGAGGTGAGGGGCAGGCATGACCTGCAGGGATGCCTGCTGGTGCCTGTGCCCAGCCCTGCAGCACCCTCTGGCACCAGCCCATGTGGCAGCCCCATCCCCAGGTCCCTGGCCTTGTCCTCCCTCTCTTGCCCCTTACAGCTTGAGCACTTGCCTGCACCCTCCCGAGAAGATAATCACTTCCAGGGCACCACGCCTGCAGCGTTACTGATGGCCAGCAAGATTACTGCTGCTATATCTAGCTCTCTGCTGAAATATTTTCTGGGTAGGAGAAGCCACTTTTGCTACAACAAAAGCAAAGGGCAAGGTAAGCTGGCTCTCAGATCAATGTTGCATTGTTGCTGCTTGGCTTCCTGTTAGGGAGGCTTCTGTCCTTTTGTAAGAAACAGCTACAGGAACAGGAGCTGCACAAATCTGATTGTTTTACAGTCGGATCCGGGGACTCTGAGTTTTTTTTCAGCTTTTTAAACAGTGCTCTCACAAGCTAGCAGGCACTAGGACCTGCCTGAATCCTTTACTGCCAAGCCTGCAGGGAGGGAATAAATATAGCCCAGGCAGCTGGATGAAGGACAGCGAGGCTGGCGCAGATTACTGCTGGAGGAAAACTGCCCCCCCGATACCCCAGGCAAGGGCTGCTTGGCGGCAGCAGCCGGGGAGCTGTGCGGAGGGGTGCTGGTGCTGGTGGCACCGTGCCCTCGGCTTCCAATGCTCCAGCCAGGCAAGGTGACTGCCTCGCTGCTCATCAGCAACGCCAGGACAGCCTGCGATGAGGACCTGCTCGCGCGAGAGGGGGTCACCTTCTGCGTCAATGTCACCAGGCAGCAGCCATTCCCCGGCCTCCAGCAGGTCCGAGGCATCCGCGTCCCTGTTTTTGATGATCCGGCAGAAGACCTGTACAGGTATTTCGAGCAGTGCAGCGATGCTATAGAAGAAGCTGTCCGGGGCGGTGGGAAGTGCCTCGTTTACTGTAAGAACGGCCGCAGCAGATCAGCTGCTATTTGCACTGCTTACCTGATGAGACACCGAAAACTCCCACTCAAGGATGCCTTTGAGGTATTGTACTTACACCCGCAGTTCTGTTTAGATATCTTTTGGGCACTAAATGCAACGCTTGTTATGAATAATGATGATTTCTCATGGAAAGACTCCTCCCAGCTGTTCTGGTGCTCTCACCTATTTAAGAACAGTTATTTGGGTATGCAACATTTGGATATAATTCCACTGTAATTTTTTTTCACACCCCTACACCCCCCACACACGTGGACAAATAAGCCTTCAGTGTAAGGTTTCTGGGACAAACATAATTACAAATGCAGATATGCTTTAACACTGGCAGCAAAGGACACATTCCAAGTTGGTTTGTTTGCTATCATTTCCCCTATCATTTCCTTATTTATGATAAGTGAACTTAAAGACAGAGACATGAAGCAATTCAGTGAAAATAAAAGGAGTATTTGCAGAAGTTGTTTTCCAGGATTTGCTCTTAAAGCTGTCACATACACATCATCTGTGTGACATCTCAATGTAGCAAAGAAACATCTCTTAGGCCTGCTAAACAGTGAGAAGCTAGCTACAAATAATAGCACCTACCTTTTATAAGGATTCTTGTATAATAAACAGGACTTGTGCTCTACAGTCTGTTAGTCTTCACCCATTTGGGTGAATATATATATATACGTGTATAATTTAGGTGTCTAATTTAGATAACTGCTTTGCCTGTACTACACACAGGCTTCCAGATACATGGCAGAGATTCACATTTCCAGCAAATTCAACAGCTCCTTTTCACGTCTTATCCATGCTGTGACCAGGAACTTGGTGGTTTTACCAAGCACAGAGTGAGGACATCAAAAATACCGATTTATTATTCCATCGCAAAATCAAAGCCAAAGCAAATCTCAAAAGTCTCAGAGGAAGAATCAGTTTGAATTACAACCTCCATTGCTTCTACAACATCTCTCCTTTTTTCTAGACGGTGAAGGCTGCCAGGCCAGTAGCAGAACCCAATGCAGGATTTTGGTCTCAGCTACAGAGATATGAAGAAGATTTGAAAATATCAAAGCAGCCTGATCTGCTGAACAAAGGACTTAACTCGCTTTAAAATATCTTCACAGATTGCTATTTTCAAGTGGCTTGCTACAGCTAAATTAGAAGAAAAAAAAAATCACTAACACTTCCCTTATCACCAAAACATAAAATGTCTTACTCCCCAGACTGAGTGGATGGTCCATTAAATTCATTCAGAGCATTGCTGTTGAAGAAAAAGGGGCAGATAAACAGGGGAAAACAACAAAAACACAAAATTGTTGGAAGGGCTGTAAACAGATGAAAGACATGGTATCTGCAATGTTTACTTTCCCCAGAGTAACACTGAATATGAAGATCATGTATTGAATGAACAAATGAGTTACTACATGGGGATTTTTACTCATCTTTTGGTTTTCATTAAACTTCCCAGTGATGTCACTAGAAGATCCAATGCAAGACCAAGGAAGCTCTGAATTGCTCTCTCACCTACAGGATCATAATTCATCTTCATGAGCTGAAGTCTCTGGTGGGAAGCTGACAAAGGAACTGCTCCGCTTGAGACCTAAATTTTCCTTACTTTCAACTAGACTAAAGTACCATCACAAAATTACATAGAGGTCCAGAGGACAGAATATTCAGTTGATGGTAAGGTGTTCAGCTCCTGCCTTACAAGTTAAGTGGCTTTTCTGCTTTTGAAATTATTCGCCAATATACCAAAGGGATGATTTTAAGAAGAATAGTTCATAGTGGAGGGAAGAAGATGACACTGGCAACACAATAGTAATTATGACTCCTTTTAGCTTTATTTACTAAGTTTTAAAAGATCTACAAGTGCCCAAATTCATGCTTTAATAGGTCAGTTTATAAGTCAGCTGTTCAGCTGTACTTGTATGCAAGCAACGTGGCTAAACTATTTTTTCTAAAAGTACTTGCAGATTGCACTGTGAAATCATCTATTTGGATAGACAAAGAAGGAAGGCTCAGGAGGATGGTGTGAAGCTTCTAAAGAAGAGTACTGCTATGTTTTGCCAAAAGTTGTTCAAAGCAGAAAGAAATACCCAAGTATTTTGTTGAACTGTATTAAAACATTTATAATTTAAGAGGGAAGTTATGAACACCAAGAACCTACAGAGTGAAATTCCATTCCACGTTGCTCAAAACATCAGTAGGAAGGAAAGTTAGTTCATCTTCAGCATCGTAAGTGCTTACATAAGCCAAACATATGCTCCCAATAGTGGAGTAGTTTAAGGCAGAAATTCTAAAGCTGGAATTGCAACAGAGAATAAAGTAACTGATGAATGAGGCAATTCAGATGCAAGAGAAGTTCCCAAAGTAAGAGATTGCTGGAAGTTAAAATAGAATTATTTTAAAACCTGAAAACATAGAAATAAAAATAAAAAACCAGGGCTGTCTTCTAGTTACAACAAGGCGTATTCTGACCAAATGCTTTCTCCACTCCAAGCTGTGTTTGGTTCATTCTTGTGTCATTTATCTTTCCTAGCTGCATTCCAACCAACAAGGCATTAGTTGTACATCTGCAGATACGGAGGTGAATGGATGTTTCTAAAGGATTTTCAAAGGTTTCATAAATCTTGACTATATACATTATATGTATTTCAGTATACCATGAGACTTCAAGCCCTGGTACATAGGCTGCATCTTCATTAATTGCCAGGATGCTTCTCATCGAAAAATCTGTTTCAGTCAGTCAGTGGAATAAAGCTTTACTGTCAAAAGCCAAAGCTGCTAAACATTAATGAAAATACAATACATTTCTAACAGCGAGCTATATTAACCAGCAGGCAGCTACAGCATATGTGTTACACATTTTTTAGTTTTCTGAAATAGAAAAAGTTGGTCTTGATTATCAGGATGTACCACACTCTGTGATTCAATTTGACCAGGCTTCTCAGCACACAGACAATCTTCATGCTGCAGGATTTCATTCTCTGTAGAAACCTATTTCCACTTTAAAACCATTTCCAGGAGGAGGTGCTCAGATGTAAATCATCTCCAAATTAAGATGAAAGATAGCAACTTGGAACTGAAACACCGGAAGTAGTTCACTTTGCTAATTTAAATTCATAACCTACTAACATTACAAGTGATGTAAAAATATCAGTTTAGACATACTCCTTGGCACTTGTAGCTGTCTCAGAGTTTTTGGTGTAAATTTGCTGCTGAAGGGCTGGCTGGCCTGCTGAATATCTGTATTTGCTGGCACTGTAAATTAAGAAAAAAAGATAAAAAAGAATAGGCATTACACTCACAGCCACAGTTTCAGATAATTAGGAAGATACTTGTTATGGTCTGTATCCAACGCAGTGATAGCACACGCTTCCCAAAGGTGCAGAAGTTTAAAGCCTATTGTTCTCATCAGTCTTGTAGTTAAGGGGAAAGAGACGGGCTCTTCGGCTTGTGGCACAACTGTCTCTCTGGTAGCTAGAAACAAACTGTGCATTCCTAACTAACGTGTGCCTTTCCTTGATCGTTTTAGTCAAGCACCTAAAGCGGAAAAGAATCTAGACTTCAATGCCTTTGTGCAAGCTGCAGTTCTTAGTAAAGGAATTGAAATGATGAGAAAGGAAAACAGAACTATCTTCAGCCTAATCCCTTCATCTGTCATTCATGTTGAACGTGTTTTGCCTTCCTTGGTTTTACCTGATTTTTTCAAGATATTTCAGGGTATTTGGTACTTTGTATTAAAGCACAGTGAGTCAGATCTAAAGTCCAACAGGGCTGATAAAATATTATCATAAAACTCCAGTGGTTTCAGATTAGGCAACAGAGTATCAGAGGAACACTCTCACTTATTAGCTGTTTTGACATAACTTTCCTAAGATTAAATATAGTAGCAGTGATTGTGCTTCTTGCTTCTGTGTTATGATCCTCTCAGTCCTAGCCAGTACATCCTCCAAGCTTTTGAGTTCTTCTGGGTTGACATGGACCTCTAGTATTTCTGGCAATTTCATCCCTCTCTTTGAGTAAAGGACTTTCTGTATGTATGAATAATTAAAGATGGGAAAAAAAATTCCAGGCAAGGTTAAATATGTAGGCCAGAAATCTTGATTTCTCTGATATGATGCACACTAAAACATTCCACAAGAAACAAGAAGATATCATACATTTCTAACAATCAATTGGATACAATTTGGGAGGAAAATGCCATTACATTTTCTTAAAATTAAATGTTGTTTGACTATTTTAAACATAGTGAGTATCACAGGAGAATTTAATTACAATACACTATATACTTCGATATACTTTTCTTCAGGCAAAACATAGTTTGCTCTTTAACTGCACATTTTCATCACGTAGGTATTAGATGCATGATCAGAATTATCTAAGACTAGCTATAGGTGACTGCTGATTGCAGTCAATTATCAACAGGTAAAGCATTTGGGAGGTACAAGTATTCAGTACAGCATCACCCCTATCACAAGTCTGTGATATACCAGAGCACTGAATTAGTACGTAGAGTTTCCTGTTTCTATGGGTGCAGATTTAAACCAGGGTGAAGGAGATAACAGTATGCAGACAGAAAATGGTACATAATCGACAGCTATTATTGTAACTGACAAATTCAAGATTACCTGTATTCCATTTTTTGCTTCCCTTTGCATGAGCAGGTTAGGAAGATACCACCAAGCATATAAAGAATAGATCCAGCCCAGCCTAAGTACAGAGCATCTCCTAGTTCATACCTGAAACATGAAAGATGTTATGGAAGCAGCATATAACAGGATCACAAAGCCATTACTTTAGACTCAGCCATAAGCTACACAAAACATCCAAACAAACAAATTCCATTCTGATAGACGTCAGCTCACCTCAACTCAGCTCTGTTATCAGGAGATAACAGAGGAAAACAGACCTGGTTCTGTGTCTGTTCAGTAAAACTCTTAGGTGCATATTCAAGTGCTCTGTCAAATTGGTGACAGGACAGAAAGTACAGAGCAACATAAAGACAAGTAGCAATAAATAATTGCGTACATTAAATAAACTGTTGATAATAAAAGAGAGAGGTTGAATCTTAAAACAGAATCCGTATAAAGCAATTGGCATGAGTACTTTGAAAGGAAAAGAGGAAAATAAAAGTTGTATGCATACTCCTTTACACATGCTGAATTCCGTATCAGTGGTCTGATTGTTACTCATCAACTGCCTTTTCTCCATCAGAGACCTGCCTCTTCAGTCCCCAGCAGAACGAAGCTACTAAAAGTCAAACCAGCACAAGGCTGCCCAAAGACTGAAGAAGTTCAGGACTTCCTCAAGATAGCATTTGGGCAGGGAGCATGCTGAGCATAAATAGATGTGACAGAAGCAGCCAAGAAAGAAATTTTGCCATACTTTCTCAGACCACAGAGATATACCTGTGTTGCACATATAGTCTTTGTTCATATATAAAAATGTGTTTTCCTCTTTTTGTGAAGCTCCTGCCAGACTTTACCAGGTTCAGTCAGGTCTAATCTTTGAGTTAACTTCACTATCTGTGAAATTCCTGGACTGGGAAATTTTCTGGAGTGTCTAGCTCTGTACAGTAAAACTGGGAAGTGTTCTTTTTCATTCTGGGACTGTTCATAAAATGTATTTCAGCCACAGAACCACAGAAATCTGAATATTCATTAGTATATGTAATTTTGTTATGAAACTATATAATAAAGAATCAGCCTTTCCTGGTTTTCCTACTAGAAAGGAACAACTAGTTCTATACAAACAGCTACTTACAGGTGATACAGTATCATGTCCATATAAAAACAATTCCTGTGGTTAGCTATTCCTCATGAAACAGACAGCAAGTAAGTAATCTTCCAGTTTCACAAAATAACTTCAGTGGCAAGGCCAATATAAGGACGAAATAAGTGTCATGGACTGTGCAGAACATATACTGAAATCAAATTGTTTATATTCTTTCTATTTGAAAATACAAAGTCACTATGTAACAGTGTCAATGCTTCTAACTCCAAAACTAGCTGGTATCAGGTAGGTTTCTAAGGCTTACACACATTCACTGCTCTCTGTGTTCCCATCATACACTGGAGCCCCAAGTAGAGCTCACGTCCCTGCTGCTTTAGGCAGTTTGCAGACACAGAACAGAGAGAGAATCATTACCTAAAAAAAAAAAAAAAAAAAATTGCTGGAAGAATATGGAGGAATACTAAGGAACAATCAGACTGACTAGTACATGCAATGGGCTCTGCTGACTAGTTGCCTGAAGACAGGAATGCTGTAGACATCATACCAAAGGGAAGTATAATAGGATGGATCCATGAAGGACTTAGGTTCCCTTCAGAGTTGTATGAGAAATTCCTCTAAGAATTAATAGAGGTTAATATTACTAATTTGCTTCAGTCATAGAAAAACAAAACAAACCAAACAAACAAACAAAGTAAACTGAAAAACAGATTTCCCAGTTTCTTAAGACTGAAGATCAATACTGCCCTGCAATTGAAATTAAACCCTTCTCACAGAGTCCAAGGAGGACAAACTTCCTTAAAAGAACAGAGCATGTCCAGCTTTACCAATGATCAAAGTTATTTCACCAAGAACTGCTTAGCAAACTGATAGTCTTAGGCATGAAGTTTAGATACCAAAAAAAAAAAAAAATCTTTAGCTACTGAATACAAACAATCTAGTAACTGATTAACACACACTGATGTTGGAGCCCAACAGCTATAAACAGCTATAAAACTCGCCAGCTATTCTACAAACTGCAATTCCTTATCATCAGTCGTTTCAATCCTCTAACGTATTTATTACTCTTCATATAATTCTCTCAAGGGGACATAAAACAAAAAAGTCTTAGAAGTGCAATTTCTTTCTCAGTGCTTGTTTGGATACGCAAGGAAAACTTACAAACATCCAAGCAATTGCGGAAAGCACTTTGATTCATAACAAAGCACTTCACTTCTGACTTCCCTGAACTGATCCTCAAGGGGAAACCTGTAAAACACTTCAAATATAATCCTAGGAAATAAAGCTTTATAGTTTACTGAGCTAAAAACTATATACTTGCTAGAGGTGCTGGCAAATTATAAACCTTCCCTCTTCCTCAACCCACCTCTCTCATGTTCTGCAGACAATGTGTTACTTGTTTCACTCACCCTTCTTCCCTCTTTGGAGGAGGCACCCTGTCACTTCCCTCTACCCTTGCTCTTCATTGATAAATCCATTTGTCAAGATAAGCTATCCTAAACGGACGCTTAGTTTTGAAGATTGTTGCTTCTATATCAGATAAGAATAAGGGTTTTTATGCCTCGAAACTTGGCCGTGCGCAACTGTATGAGCTGATAGTCCCACAAACTTTGCGTCATTTTAATTCATAAGGCAATCCAACATTGAGCTGTTATTATATGGGGGGGATTGACTTCTTTAAGACAAGCAGGACACCTCAGTGGTATTCTTTATCTACCTGCAGGTCCCTAGCACTCAGTTCAGGCTGTTTTCTGTACTTTCGTTACATCTGCTTGTGAGATTCAATTAAGTCTACATCTCAGTGCTAAGAAAAATAAAAGGTAGAAGTTTTAATTTTCTTTGTCATTTAGACAAAATATATCCATGGCTCTTTGTATATTTGAGGCATCTGAACATCTTACTCTATTCCCAAAAGGGAGTAGCAGCACAGGTTAAAAATATGAAAATACATGTTTGAAAAGTGAACAGACAGACAGTGAAGGCTGTTGGTACTGTGGCCTTCCCAGAAGCAGGCGTCAGCATTTGAACAAAGAGCAATGCTGTTTGAACGATGGAGAAGGCAGACAGATCACGAAGGACATGAAAGGGAACAAATGCAGCACATATTTGATGCCAATGAAGGCATAGCCATGAAAAAACAAACATTTGAAGTGACAGCCAGGAACAACCCTGCTTCCAGCATTCATAGCCAATAGTAGCATAGGAAACTATATTTGTCAAGGGTACATAATTAACAATTTCTGCAGTTAACATGCATGGTAAAGACTGGAATCAGATGAGAAATACGTGAGCCTTAGCTTGTGATCGTCTAACCCTTATGTGGAAGTCTAGAGGGAAGATGCCTAACTTCTTAAGGTGGTTCACCAGGTCCCATCTGAAGCTGCAATAGACACAGTCAAGAAGTCTGTTGCTCTACTCACCACAATTGGCATGTAGGTGAATAACTCAGATTATTTGCCTAAACCTCAGATAGCTAAACTAAGGTGAAATGAATGCTTTCCTTAAAAGCAACTGGGAGGTAAGGATCTAGCAGAAGTGCCATGAACATAATGTCCAAGATTATGAGCCAGTATGACAGAAGAGTGATGCTGTACACAGAGAGGACAAAAGAAATTTATTTTTTGCACTGTACCTGAGGATTAAGAACAGTCTTTTTTCCACAAATGGAATTGGAGGGAAAAAAAAGCCATAAGGAAAAGAGATTTCATGTTAGCATAAGAAGGCTCTGAAAAAGGACAGTAGATCTACCATTGTTTATCAAATCTGTATTCCACTGTCCTCTATAATATCAGAATACCTACACAGGGCAAACAGATAATCGGGGGACAGAGAGAGGCTCAGACAAAGATACAAGCAAGAAGAAAGGAATCACTTTGGCTCAAGCACAACAGCAGATCAAAAAAAAAATCTTGCTGGGAACTTCAGCACTATTAAATTCAGTTCTGGGTTTTGCAAACTGCAGGAGATCACAAGTTGCCAGTACAAGGGAGCACTCTGTGGCAACAATGCAATACAAATTTGGGGTTAATACTCCCCACACATTCACTAAACCTTCCAGGGAGACCTCTCCTCCCTCCCCACCAACAGCAAACAGCTCTGAGGTGAAAAATTTTCCTGACAACAAATGTTTCCTCCCGCAGGGCTGCATATCAGGATCCAGGTTCTGAAACACTGGAGCAGCTGAAGTTAGTCCTGCCATTTAACACATGCTGGAGTTTGGTGTGACAGATCTATTAACTTACTTGGTTCCAGCGTACAGCGGGTCAAAAAACTGAGCAGTAATCATTGCAGCATACCAAGAAACAGCCACCATCGAAGAGAGACCTACCAGAAAAAGTTTTAAAAGCACATACTTGAGTGAGTCCTTTGACGTCTGTAACAGCTTTAAAACAAGAGTAAGTGTTCATTTCATTTAGTCTAGTTGTGACAGGAATGCAAAGTACTGATAGCATTCTCATTTCAGCTTTGGTATTACCTCCTAAAATAAAGAGAAATCCTCCTGTGACAGCAAACTTCATTTTTCCATCTTCATCGCTTATCCCAATGTTTGTGCATTTTAAACCAAGAAGTGAGAGCACTGCAGCTATAAATCCCAAAAGGATGGAAACAATTATCAAGGCACGGCATGCCTGAATGTGGACTGAGTGAGAGAGAAAAAGAGAAAACAAATAAGGATTTATACAGAAATTAAATTAAGCCTATACTGCCAAAGTATAAAAGATAGAAACAGTGACAAAATTACCAGAAGCAATGAATCTTGTCCAACCTTAACTGAGGATTTTACTTCACAATTTGAAAGTTCAACTTTCTGCTGTCTTTATCTTAAAAATGAGCTTAATGAACAAGATAAAGTAAGTTAACTTTATTTATCAATATTAATTTTAAGAAATCATCCTAAGCCCTGACACTGAAGGAAACACATATGACACCTTAAAAAGAATATATATATATATATATAAAGCATTTGGTATCTGACTAATTGATTTATCAAATGTTTCATCTAGTTGTGACTAGATGTATAGTGCTAACTATACATAATTGCAGTGTTAATCTTCAGCAATACTGCTTTAAAAAAAGTCCCCTTTTCAAACATTTGTGACCTGGGCTAATGGTGTGCTGAATTCAAAAGCTTTAAATCTGTTTCAAAAAAAATAAATCTGATATTGCCATACGCAAAACACACAAACAGACGTGTACAACAGAGCCCAGCTGCCAATAAGGAAGCCTTTACAGTAAATCTTTATGATCCTTCTATTGAGACATCACCCCATGAACAAAGACACCTTTTTTTTTTTTTTTTTTTTTCAATCTGGCATCTTCTGCTGTAATAGTTTCAGATAAGTTTCTAAGCAGCAATTTGATACACACCTAAATTAACCATGATAACTTCACTCCACCTTGGCACGTATCTGTGAGTGCTACAGGCATTTCTTGGAGGTCCCACTATTTGCTTAGCTCTCGTTGATCCCAGCCCAACTCTCTTCCTCTTTCCTGGTTTGCCTAGCTGTCCCCTCGACTTTTCCTACAGTTCTGTGTTTTCTAACTTGTTTATTTTTCAGTTGTTCTTTTATAAAACTTTTTCTTCTCAATTCTTCTTCTCAATTCTGCAAGCTGCTTTTTCCCTTCCCCTTTCCTCTGCCTACACCCCGCAAGCACAGCGACATCTCCTTGACAGAGTAATCTCCTCTTCAGTGGATCACATCTTATCTCCACAAACTCACTTTCTGAGCCTGGCCTGTTAATTCACTTTCTGACTGCCCCCATTTTTCCTTCCTGCTAACTCCACATTGTTATCAGCAGTTCTCCAGAAGCATTCCTACTGTCCGCCTTCCTTTCTCTTTTGCTTTACCACCTCCACTCACGATGTTCTTTCCTGCCTCCCTCAGATGGCTTTAAAACCCACTTTTTCACCAGCAGCTCCCGACCTGATGTGGCCCTGCTGCCCCCACCTACACAGGAGCAGCAGCACGGCACTCTCAGGGAGGCAGCACCTGTGTAAATAGCTCAGTGGCAAGATGCTGTGCAGTGTCTTGGGCGCTAAGTTAAGAACGGACCCATTAAGGGGGTTATAAATGAACCAAGCGCATACTTGCACGAGCACCCTGCAGAGGAAAAAAAACCTCATCCTGCTGGTGGTGATGCTAAAGAGCTTATGTAGGGTATCTGTTACGGTCCTATTTATACACACATGCATTTTAAAACCAGCTGTCGGGGAACAACTTGCTAGAAAGATTGTTAGGGAACTGTTAGAATAAAGCAAAGAACAGATTATTCCCCCAGTACGGACACAGAGCTTCACAGCATTGCCGGGCGAGTTCCAGAGCTGGTCGGTAACAGCAGGTTAGGTCAGACTGAGAAAGAGACTTCAGCCCCTCATGGCCACTAATGCTGTGGTAGATATTCTTCAGATTAGGAAGATTTCTAAGGGGGTTAGCCAACTCCTGGTGTAGATCCAACTAATTAGGAAGACATGTTTTATCCGGGATAAGCCTGAAGTATTCAAGATTAATAAAAACTAGCTTTACTACCTATAAACATGTTTATTATCCGCAAACTACTGCCTTAATGAACATCTGAGCACACGCCACAATTCTGGTGAATTTCCCGATATTTAGAACCACATCCAACAGGACATTAGTTAGTAACTTCTGACGGGTACGTTAAAACATATACTCATAAACTCACTGTATTTGTTCCATCGTATGCAATTTTCAGTCTCAACATGGAAAAAACACTACTCACTTCTTAGGTAAGAAATAGTATTTATAGCCCCTTTATGAAAAAACTCCAGATAACATTGGCTATCAACCACTGCAAAAGAATGCCCATACAATAATTCCATACAAATATGGAACTCCCACAAGATGTCTTAAAGATTACTTCTATTAATTCTTCCCATGCGATGCTAGAAAAGAGATTACACTATGTTTAAAATGCCCACCAAATTAAATGCTCAATCAAGCGGCTTCATTTGCCTTATTTTAGAGCCTTAATGCGTTCCACACATTACATCGTCTGAAGATTTTTATAACTTCAATCTACAAAGTTTGTCTTGGCCAGAAAGCCAATGCTATTTTCCAGTACTATCAGATCACAAAACCAACAATCTTACTATTTTTTCCCCCAAAATTTTTAAGCAATATAAACAAGACTGCACAAAGTCACATACCAGGCAGAGCAAACATAGAGTCAAATACCCTGCAGTTGGATACTCCAGTGCTGTCTTCGGCACAGCTCTTCCAGAGGTTTTCATACAACGTAGATGTTGTGATCACACTACCATATATGCTGGAGACTTTCCAATAATTATGCGGCAAAGTAGCTCCAATCATTGCCCATCCAACCAAACACAAAAGAAAACCAATAATTTCCAGTGCAGCAGACATGCTTGTGAATAGTAACAGTTAAGTATCCCTATAATTGGATTATCATCAAGTGAAGTATTTCAGAAGCCTCCTTGCTGCTTTACCTCTGGGTTTCACTCCAAAATGAGGCTACCTTTGCTCTTTGCTCAACCCCAGAGATAAGGCTTACAGTCTACGACAATAAGAAGTGGGAGTAGTTCATGATAAATATATTACTATCAAAAAAATTCTACCAACAATATTAATTACTTTTCTAGTGAGAAGTGTCAAATTGAGCCTAATCTTACCCTCAGCCTAGAAAGTCTAGCCAGTATTCCTAGAAAATATTTTGTAAATCTGATGATATTGGCAAATATTTTCTCTCTTTCCTTCTCTGCAGTCAACTAAGGTGCACACATGACTAAACTTGCTTGTAATTTTGTTAATGATCTCAATTTTTTTTAACAGCTTTTTTTGTGTTATTTTCTTGGTGACAAAGAGCTTGAAAACGGGAACATTTTTTCTGTTGTTAGAAAATCTAGCACATTTTTGGAATTATGGTCATAAGTGATCCACAGCAACTGTACTGCCAGCTTCTTTCAGGAATGTTAAGTCTGTGGATGAATGGTTTTCATTAATATTTCACAGTCCATTGATCCATAGTTACACAGTGCTAAACAGTCCCACTGACACAGGAATACAACTGTGATAACATTCATGTGATATGCATTCCATAGAAATGAAATATAAGGGACAGAACGAACCAGTGCAACAGAACTATCTCAGAAGGAGTACAATGATGAAGCAAAATAGCTGCATGAGAATAATACATACCAGTTGATTGTGTCTGTTTGTCAGATTATTATAGCATTAAAAAATCTATTCTAGACAAAGTAGAAGTATGTTAAACTTCGTTTACTTGCTTCTGCTATTCACTAGACAAAATCATAAACTCAATTCACATCATCCACTAACGTTAATACCTTAAACGGCCTATGTATCCAAGCAAGGTTAACCATCTCTCATAGTGATAACCTGCTCTTATCTCCAGGAAACAGAGTCACAGTTTCTTCATAAAATCACTCTGCTATGACACAGCATGGTAACAAAGTCATGACATTTACATAAATACTCCCAGAAGGATTAGTTGTTGTAAGAGCCACAACTCGCCTGAAGCAGATATACCTGTTTTTTCAAAATTCACTGGTCACTTTGAGCCAAAGTTCAATGGTTTTTCGCAAAAGGTTACTACTACGCCACTGTGATGATTTTCCTCCCTTGGCAGCCAAGAGGATCTTTGATTTAAGTAAGAACAGATTGGGCAGCGCAGACAGAATGACCTTGAGCAGCACTATACTTGCAGTCCTTCAAAGGAAATGGATAGTGATGTGGTGAGAAGTGATCTTCTCATGTGGTTTTTCCTTCCACTAAATCACTGCAATTTGAAAATGATGGCACAGTAAAATGAATACACTGTGGTGGTATAGAATATCTGCATCCCGTTAAAAACCCTTCAAAGAATCTCAGATTAATTTATCCACACACAGATGTTACCCTGGCAACCTCAGTAATCACTTCTGGTCATATGACTTCCAAAGCTGAGTTGAGTTAGGAACTTGAATCAAGTTTCCCCAGATTTTACAATCCTGCCAAGGACTAAAAAATTATTTTAAAAAAGATCATTTAAGAAATTCTCTCTTCCTAAAGGCTATTAAGAAGGCTATTTCAACAGGCAATCGTAAAGCACACATATAAACAGAGCAGATTAAACTGTAGACCTGGAATGCACAAGTTTTTCTTACGTGGTACTAGGCAACTTAATCATTCCCTTAAGGAAGGCACTCTTCTTTAAAGGAAATAAAAATGCTGTAGAATATAGGATTGCTATTGCTTAAATTTCATGAACTATGGTTTGGTAAGCAAAGGGCTTGCTGGTGCCGCTGTGCAATAGCATCTGCATCATCAGAATAAAAAAGTTGGTGTTGATAGCTTCATGCCTACAACAGCTACAACAGGAGCTTCATTTCAGCCTTGGTCCAGCTGGTTGGGTGAACTGAATGCCACCGGACGGCTGGCAGGCACAAGGTGCATTCCTTGAGAACTTTTCCCTACCTCATTTCAGCCAGGAGGGATCCAGTTCCTGCACTCCAAGGCCACTCCGCAACGCAAACAAATGCACTCTGTGTGCAACAGATGGGAATGATTCGAAAATGCTGCAAGTAAAATGCTAACACAGACATACCGATATATAGGCAATATACAACCAGAGACAAATTGCTACTCATCCCCTCTGATATTCTCAAAACAGGGCATATTATGGTTGCAGAGCATGCAATATGGCTGAGATAGGGCTTACAGGCAGAAATTGTACTCTTCTTTTTTTTTTTTTTTTTTTTTTTTTTTAATCAGATCAACCAATACAGGGAAGAAAAAAAAAGAAAAAAAAAAAAAAAAAGGAATGAAAATATTAACAACTTAAATGTTTGGTCAACAGAAGCTTGTAACTTTTCAATCACTTCTGTGGATTTGTTTCAAGACCCAGGAATGCTGACTTAGCACTGTAAGAAGAGAAACTCCCTGCCAACAGACAGCAAGAACTCTCCAGACAGACACATGACATGTCTGTTGGTTGGCACGGGGAACCCCACACTGTTTTTAGGTGACAAGCAGTTCTTTGGACAGCTGAAGTTGATACACTGAGCCCTGCCAGCCAGGAGTCCTTGCCTATAGCTCTGTGAGGAAGAATGACAGAAGTGCCCTGGGGAAGGCAGCTGCTTCAATGCACCAGGAACTCCTCTGTTCCTGTTAAATATATTTTTTCCATGCTGGTTGCAATGAAACTGAATTAAAATATAGGAGGCTGTGCCACATTGACTCTGCTTGCCTCTCTAACAGGGCTGAGGCACCTGTTTCTCCCTGGTAGGTGAGGCAAGGCTGCCACAGCATTGTACGCATCCGTGCCAGCTTGCTGCTGCACATGAGAGCTGAAGGACTATTGGCCTCATCGTTCTGCTTTCCAGAAATCAGATCTACATTTCTAGATGAATTTTAGGCAACCTGTTATCTACATAAAGCAAGTCTTGGAGAGGAGCACTCTGACACTGGGTACCAGAAAGGCAGGCAAAGCTGACTTGTCTCTGACTGAACAATCAGAGTTTTTAAAATCCTTGGAAGGATATGACTTGCTTTCTGAGGCTACAGATTCTGGCCTCATTACAGCATGCTGAATACTTAAGCTGGCACTATTGTTAAGAATGCAAATGAGGTGACTGGACTTGTGGTCCTGAGGAAGACCCATGAATCTTGGAGTTTTCAGGTGGTCCCATTTTAGAGATGTCTTACAGTTAGGTGGTTCTGACTGCAGTGGAGTCCATGTCTTGTCAAGAAAATGATATTTTCAAAGTCTGTGAGATGTGGTATTTGTAAGACCTGCTTCCAGTCTTGAGCACTGTGTGTCAAGAATAAATCAGCTGGAAAGAATCCAGAAAAACAGCAATGACAATAATCATGGATCCATAAAAAAGGGAACACCTGAAGAAATGATTCCGTAACGTAACGCACAAAGTGACTGCCCAATACTGTGACTGCCCAATACTGAAAGCTGAAAACAAATACATGGGAAGCTCTGGAAGTTCTAAGACAAAATCTTCTGAGGAAATCTTAAATGTCAGTCCTTTCTTTTCTATATAAAAGGTGTTTACAGAAAAATATTAAAAAAAAAAAAGAATACAAACAAATAATTTTCAGTTCTTAGAAAGACAATTTTTCTTTTTCTCTTCACAGACAAACCACCACACTAGCACATTAATTCTACCTCAGAAAGCACAGAAGTACTACTAACACAAACACAGTTTATTTAAGCTAGCCACCTCTGAAAAAATCTAGAACAAATACACAGATTTATCACAAAGTCAAATGAGTTCTGGAATATCCAAGTCCACACCAAAGCACAAACGCTGACACTTACTGACATACTGCCTGCTCGTAGTTAAGAATGAAACTGAAAATAATACGATACAGCATCAAAGCTGCTGTACTTACTGACCTGGATTGTACATTAAAGCATATGGATTTCACTGGGGTCCTTTAACCTGCCTGCAAGTAATAAAGGACAAATCCTGTCCATACGAGAACCTCTGTGACAACTGCAGTACGTGCTGTCCAACTGCACTAAGATACTGTCCACGAAGAAGGAATAAAAGCACATCCCTGGATTTTATATGCATATATACACTTACTATCTGAACTCAACATGTAGAGAAACTTCTTGCACTGTGTTGATCCAAACTCAGTAACTGTGCATTCCATCCAAAGACCTTCAGAAATCCTTTCTGCAGGAACTAGCACCGCTGTAGTGTCAGAAATTTTCCATCTGTTGGACATGGTAGTGACAAGCAAAATGGTGAATCCTGTCAAAGCCAGCAGCAATGCACAAATTTGTAAAGATGATGCCATTCCTCTGACAGAAGTTGTTTTCAGGGTAGTCTCCCAAAATTCCTGATATTATAAACCTGTTGAAACAGTTCATACACATACAGTAGGTGGAGTTATCTTTACACAAGTCACAAGTCCTTAGGAAAACATCAGAAAGGTGCCAACCTACAATCTAATTTACCACACCAGAAAGATGTGGAACTGGAGCCTAAATCTCATGAAATAATTTGAATACTTGGATATTCCATGACACTTTAGTATTTGTTTGGGACACTTTTATTACCGGAGATGTTTACCCCACGAAATATCAACAAAGCAAAACCAGAAGATCAAAATGAGGAATTCTCTATTTTGAAATTGCAGTGTGTCACCAGTTCTTTATTTGTTTGCTAACTCAATCTTTCTTTTTTTTTTTTTTTTAATTAAAACTATCAAATGCTTTTATAAGTTATTCACTCCCTGATTACAATGCCTGTTGATACAAATTAAAAGCAAAATGCATGTGATACTCACGTTTATGATATGTTTCTAGCCTCTATCATTTCCTGCCAGACAGTAATGTCAGCACTTTGTGAGGATCAGTTTGATCAAACAGAAGGGTAAGGTTTGTGCTCTTTAGGACCTTTCCCCCCATTCTAAAAATCAAGGACCCAGGGCTATAGCACTGCCCAACTGTTGCACAAAGGCTCAGACATGGCCTTTTGCTACAGCAAAGTCTCAGTGAAATGGATGATTCAACCAAGAAAATTACAACAAAATTGTGCAAGTTACTAGCAAAACACTGAGATTAACCTGGTAATCACTGGCATATAACTTGCTTTGTCAGTGCCACTGAGCTGCCCACGCACCATCAGATTCCAAGGAAATGCAGAAAAATACTGTTACAATTTTCATAATGAGCGTTTTACTTGAAGCTTTTGCTGCACCTGTCACCAAGACGCTGCTTTCATGAAAACCTGCATTTATTGTAAGACAGGCAAACAACAGAAGATGGGATTTGTTTTAGGATGGAGCCCACACTGCAATGGAATATGCAAGTTTTCTGCATTAAGAAGAAGAAAAAAAAAATAAAATTCAAGCCTCCTCTCATAATCGTTCATTTTAAATGACTACAACACAGCGGGAATTCATTCACACAGGGGAAGCAGGATTACTTTTATTCCACTCCTAAAAGCATGTATATTCCACTATGAAAATTTAATCTCCTGTTGAGAAGAGAGCACTTTTCTCTCAAGTGGTTGTGTAACCTCTTCAAAGCACAAACAACTGTTAACTGAAAATATCTGACATAAATGATAAATTTAAATTAAGAAATAAATTTAAGCAGACTTTGTACCACATGGGCAGACTGATAATTCAAATGACTGTTTCTGTCTTACATTACGTTGGTATGACCCAGGCAATCACAATTCACTCCTAACAGTAAGGAAAATAAGGTAAAACTATAAGCCATCACTATGGGTAGGACATAGGTGTAAGCATAAACTTCTCATTAAAATACTGTAATTTGAAATATCACATGCTTCCAAGTGAGGAAGCTTAGAAGTTAGATTCCACAAAAATACAGATGAACAACCTTCCTCTACCCAGCATGCTTAAAATAACTGTCCAGTATTAATGTGTCAGCTAAAGGTAATATAACACAGAACCACAGAATCATCTAGGTTGGAAGAGACCTCCAAGATCACCGAGTCCAACCTCTGACCTAACACTAACCAGTCCTCCACTAAACCATATCCCTAAGCTCTACATCTAAACGTCTTTTGAAGACTTCCAGGGATGGTGACTCCACCACTTCCCTGGGCAGCCCATTCCAATGCCTCACAACCCTTTCAGTAAAGAAGTTCTTCCTAACATCCAACCTAAAACTCCCTGGCACAACTTTAGCCCATTCCCCCTCGTCCTGTCACCAGGCATGCGGGAGAATAGACCATCCCCCACCTCGCTACAGCCTCCTGTAAGGTACCAGAGCCTCCTTTAAGGTACCAACAATAACACCCATGAGCTCCATACTGTGTGTAAATATTCCTCACAAGTAAAATGAAGAATGGGTCTGAAACTAGAAGGTGATATTTCAATTCGACTTACATGGCAATGTAAAGTGGGAGGATGACTAAACCCTAATGGCACGACATATGACAGATCAGCTGAAGGACATCTTATTTTCCAAGCATGCCGAGAAAGCCTCTACTAGTTGGAAAGTGAAGCACACAGTGCTGGTATCTGAATCCTTAGGGGGCAGGCAGTGGGTCTGGTCTCTCAGCAGGGACTGAGAGCCTGGTGGGGCACTTATCGATAGGACATACAGGGCAGGAACAGATAGCCCCTCCTGAAATGCAAGTCTCCAGTGGGTAAAACAACGGCCAGAGGAAGAAACAGAGGGAAAGCATTTATTTGTTTAAACAAATCCACTTTCCTTACATTCTTTATATACTCCCAGCAGCATTTTCCCACTGGCATAAGAAGCTTTCAAAAGCAGCTTCTTTCAACTAGCACAATGTCTATCCCCCTCTTTCAACAAGTACTGCACACACCTGTTCAGGACTTGGTTTTACTAGGTGCTATAAACTTTCACTGTTTATAGAAATGAAATGATAGCACAACTAACAGCAAATATGCTTTGCAACTATTCAAGTATAACTGACCACAAAACAATGTTTTATGTTTAAACAAATATGTGACGCCCAGAGCATCATCCCTTGCAAACTTCACCCATAGGCCATATACAACTAAGGTCTGTAATGAGATAAAAATAAGCCCTGGGGACCAAAAAGAACACCTTAGTCTGAAAAACAGCACAGCCAAACTGTATGGGGTTTGAACACAGGACGGGAAGAGTTAACAAAGAAAAATATTTAAGCCACTTAAACAAACAAAACACTCCTGATAAGGTCCCTGAAAAAAAAAAAAAAAAAAAAAAAAAAAAAAAGTGATAAAAGACTCTAAGCTGCCAAGTTAAATCAAACATCTCTTTTTACTTCTTTTTAATTTTGTTGCATAGAAAAACAGGGAGCTGATTACCGCAGTTTTCACGTACCTGTATATGTGTGTTTTTTAACACCAGCAACATATAGCTTTCAATCTGCTAAGCATTGCTTTATTCAAGCAAATCCCGAGGCTGACCCATGACCAACAGCGCAATTAGAAAGAGATAAAATACAGTCTTAAATACAGTGCTATAGCACATAAGCAGTCCTCCATCACAAGCTTATAGAGGTTTCCTCAGGTCACAGCCTTGACTTAAGAAGGTAAAATCTTTCACGTGTTAAGAAAAAGGGAAAAGAGAAACAACCTCAACTACTTTCCCCTCCGCTTCCAAATGATTTGACTTTGCCACTGTATTCTTGAAGCAGATAAGCTTGCTAATGTTCTAATCAAGCCTGTAGTCACCTGCAGTTCCTAAAATATACAAATCCTTAAAAGACGTTTAGATGTAGAGCTTAGGGATATGGTTTAGTGGGGACTGTTAGTGTTAGGTTAGAGGTTGGACTCGATGATCTTGAGGTCTCTTCCAACCTAGAAAATTCTGTGATTCTGTGATTCCCATCTTGCTATTAACTTTCCTTCCATACAATGAAGAACTGAGGCTGGAGGGAACCTCAGGAGGCAGCGCTGTCCCACCTCCTGCTGCAGCACCGCCGTGCAGATGGGCTCGGGGCTTGTCCAGTCAAAACAAAACCGACTCCAAGCCTGCAGATTACACAACCGCTTTGCATGTGAAATGCTTCCCTCACACCCATGCGGGACTTGGGACTTTTCCTGCAGCAGCATGTGCCTCTCTCCTGGTGCACACCTCAGATAACCTGCTCCTTCTTAAACTGCTTCGTTTTGGCAGCTCCGCTCGCTCATGCCTGAGCCGTGCCTGGCACGCACCGGACGTAACCAGAAAGGCGCACACCGCTTCTTCAAACTCCATTAAGCTATTTTAAAAGCGAACACTTTTATTTAATTAATTATTTATTTATTCATTTATTTATTTATTTCTCTGTCGGTCTTCGTGAGCCCCGGTCCCGTCAGTCAAACCCCCGGGCGGCTGAGGGCGGCCCCTCCCTCACGCCTCCCCTCCCAACATGGCGGCCCCTCCTTCCCGCCTCCCCTCCCAACATGGCGGCCCCTCCGGGCCGGGCCGGGCTGAGGCAGTTCCCCCGGCCGCGCCCGCAAGATGGCTGCCGGCCGCCCCGGAAGCGCTCGGCGGGCGGGGAGGCGCCCAAGATGGCGTGGTGGTGCTGGGCCCGCGCCGCCGGCCCGCGGGCGCAAAGGTACGGCCGGGAGGGAACGGGCTGGGGGTGGGGGGGGGTTGCATCCCGGCTCCCCGCCCGACCTCTGTCTCCCCCCGCAGGCTGACGGTGCTGCTGGAGCCGCGCCGGGGGTTCCGGCGGGCGCGGCCGCGAACCGAGGAGCCCACCCCCGCCACCGCCGAGCCGCCCGCCGCTGAGGCGCGCCCCGCACCGCCCCGCCGCAGCCTCTGCCCGCCGCCGCCCGCCCGCGCCGGCCGCCCCCCGGCCCGCCGCCTCGTCAGGCCGCTGCTGTTCGCCGTAGGGGTGAGTGGCTCGGCGGGCGGGGAGGGAGCCGGCGGAGGCCCGGCCTCGGGCCGCCGGCCCGGGCTGAGGCTGTCCCGCCGTTGCCCAGTTCACAGGCACCGCCTTCGGGGCCGCTGCCATCTGGCAGTACGAGGCGCTCAAGGCCCGGGTCCAGACGTATTTCGAGGGAGCTCGGGCGGACTGGCTGGACAGAATCCGCCCGCAGAAGAGGGGCGACTTCAGAAAGCAGGTACGTGTGCCCGCACCGAGCATGGCTCGGGCTTGTAACGCCCAGAGGGGACAGGCGCCCGGCAAACCGCTCCTCATTCTAAGCAAATTACATTACTTCGTTCCAGGAAAAATAATGGTAGAACCAGCGATAACAAACTCATTCACAGCATCACTGCGCAACCCACATAGGAGACAAATGCCATGTTCACCCTGAAATGTGTGGAGGAGAGGTCAGGAGTAGTCAGTAAATACCTAAAGGATACACCTTTTGCTTCTTCACTATCAAAAACTTCAAGTTGCCGTTTTTAAGCCTTCTCAAAACCAAACTTGAGCTCCCAGAGATGATGGAACTGGCTTAAATTCTGGACAGTAAGCGTATTTCCTTGTTTTTGAATGAAACACATTCAGATTTTCAGCCTTTACTGCACAAACCATCAGGGTTTGAGGGGCTTTTGTAATGAAAGCCAACATTTCCATCCAACTACTTTGCTTTGACATTTGGGCAGTAAGAACAACGTAACTGCTGCAAGACTTGTACAGTTAGTTGGCATCCTGGAAGATACCAGTCATTCACTGTTCAGTTAAGCATATTTAAAACTAAAAAATATACGTGTGTTTCAAGGTTACTGCTGTAGCATGTAGCAGACCAGGCTTGTTCTGGTTGCTTTTTTGAGGGAGGTGGGGCCGCTGGAGTAACATGTTGTCCTGGAGGGCACACAGGAGCTGGTTTTGTAACACCAAGTGTGTGCACTGTGGTACTTTTTTCCAAATGGGCATGCTTTCCTGCTCAGTTTATATGAAGTGCAGGTGAGATTATGACTGCCCCTGAATTATATGTCAAATAGTTTGGGTTTTGTACTTCTGGTTTCCTTCAAAACCTGAAGGGGAAGATTTGC